TGACTTTTCACAGAACCATCGAATTCCATGTTGTGTGGCATGAATCTGCCTCTTTGTCGCAGTCAGACAGGGATTTACAGATCCACTTAGTCGTTGCAGAAAATCGTTTTGTCATGTAATCCTTTCTTCTTTCCCTCATGACTTTAAACCTCTGCCTAATCGGTCTCGATCTTTACAGGTGTGTGAGCATTTTCACCCCCTTATTTTCTCTGTTCATACCCCTCACAACTTGGAAAGCTTGAAGCAGACCAGTTTTCCGTTCTCCAAGGAGAACTATCTCAACTTTCCAATCTATCTTTCTTGCTGACATTCTTCACACACGTCACCATTCACGTGAACCTGTTCAGCACTGTCTCCAATCACTTTGCGTCCCAGCTTCATGAACTTTGACACATACATAATTGAGCAATAATGCAGCGGAGAATTCATTCTGATGATTGGCCTTGGATCAAACTGTCGACTCTTCTCCTCCTCCTCTGCTGCCTGACCTGCTGTGCTCCTGTCTCCAGCATCTGTCGTTCTTGCGATCTCCGGAATCATTCAGATTGCGGAGCAAACATCCGGAAACACTCTTTTTTACTTTGAACAAGTGTTCCTCTGCGCTGTGTTCACGATAATGTTAGAGCAGCTTCATTTTTCGGAAAGCTGGTTGGGCAGTTTCGTGAAAGTGAAGATAAGAAATCTGGGCTCGTCCGGGATCTCTCGCATGTCAGCAGCATGTAAGACCCAAAGCGAGAATCATACCCCTAGACCAACGAGCCATCTGCAAAAACCGCGCCCCTTTCAGAGTGAAGTACATTCCACTTTGTTTGGGGAATTCGAAGCAGCAAAGAATTTCAAGAATATTTTCTCCTCAATCTGTCTCCCTGCTCCCGAGACGGTGCTGTTTGCCCCATCTCCTGGAACCGGGTTCTTTCCATTGATGGATTATTATACCATTTGTTTCCACTTGGATCACAGAAAGTTTTGAAAGATTCGTAAAGCTGGAGATTGGGTTTCTGTTTTGTTTTCTTTCCATGTTTCCACCTACCAACTGAATTTTGTTCCCAAAATCTCGTCACAATCTTCAGGCTTCATCATGCCCGGGGCTGAGGGAATTCAGATTTGTGGAGATATTCAAAAGGTCGGGATTTTTCTGTTTAGAGCAAAGAAGGTTAAATGGAGATTTCATGGTGCGAGACAGTGAGAAACTGTTTCCACAGGTGAGGATCAGTAAACAGGTAAATGGGATTTTAGAACATTAAAGATGAAGAGAGTTGCACTGACAGAGGACTTTTCACCACCAGTGATGATGTCTGCTGACTACGGGTAGGGGTTCTTTAAAACTTGCGTCCTTCTTCCCCGTGCACGATATATTCACTGCAAACACTCTCAGGGATCTCGATCTCATTGAAATCAACATTTTGATGTGTTTTGGTCTGCTTCCTGTAAGCCTGTACATCTGAAATAGATATCTCATATTGATACATGGGCCAAGTTCGCACAAGTGAGGTGACACGCGTTTGAAGGTCTGAATGGCCTTCTCCTGTTCTGTGTCGGTCTGCGATGGTCTTATTTGTTAAAACTGTTCTCTGAGATCGCAGAAATAAAGTGTTGAATTTGAAAACAACATCAGTTGTGGTGTTTTACATGCAGTAATTCCCCACGCTGTACCCGGAAGGAGCGTCCTTCAGGTGAAATTAAAAGTTGTGAAGGACAAGAAGATCGGAGACAGCATCACGACACAGGTACGGTTCACCATTATTAGGACGGATATTACCAATTATGAATAACCACGGAGAGATACAAGTGACAGAGAATCGCCGTGGACTCGATGGGCTGAACGGCTTCTTCCTGCACGGGAATGACGCCATGGGTTTATGACGTCACTCTCCCTGACTCTGTGATGTGGAGATGCCGGTGAAAAGTGTCACTTCACCTGATGGAGGAGCAGCGCTGTGAAAGCGTGTGATTTCACATAAACCTGTTGGACTATAACCTGGTGTCATGTGACTTCTGATTTTGTTCACTGTCTCTGTGACAGAGCAGGCGAGTGAGAAACAATGGCTCATTTTTAACCCTCCCTTCCGCTTTGAACTGTCTGTAGCTCCGCAGCTCAGGGACGTCGGGGATGACTCTCAGTGATTCTCTTAATCTGGGACTGTTCGTGTCAGATATTAACCCCTGCCCAGTCGTAACAAAGAAACCGACGTCCGCGTTGCAGAAGACTTTCTGCGAGATTGCTGTGTGAAGTCGAATCCTGAAAACCAAACAGGCTCCACAGAAAGATCCCGCATTAAGTTTCTAAAGGGAATAGTCTCCAGTTTCGACTTCTCTCTTTTCTCGCAGCTCTGCTTCCTTCTCTCTGTCTCTGATTAATGCCATTTGATGAAAGTTCCCAATAATAGTTTATAATTTCTTGACGTCTGATTCTGCCTCTTCTGCTTCTTCACCCTTCCAGTGTTCAAGAAGGAGCTGCAAAACGTATATCATCCCCAAGCACTGCCTGCTCGTGGAGGGAAATGGTTTGATCCATCTGCCATTGAAGACAGCCCAGTGCTCGGGGAAAGGAGAAAATAGCATCAGCCCGGGAGCAGGGGCAGAATGGGAAAAAGCTGTTCATTGTTGCTTTCACTGCCCGAACTGAAATTTTTTAAATGTAAGCAGCCTGTTCAAACATGTTATTACGCACCTCTGGAGCATATACAACTTGAAACCGGTCTCCAACAATCAAAGATCACTGTATGAGGATCAACTAGATGATAACAGAAAGCTAATGCTCGATGAAACTGTTCGTTGGTGTAGAGGT